GACTGCGGACTCTAGTTACTGAATACGTAGCGAGCGAAAAATGGACGAAAACGGCAAGGCGGCTGGGTCAGTGGAATTGAAGGTGTTTAACAAAGTTTGTATGACTGCGCACGTTAGTTACTGAATATGTAGCGAGGGAAACCTGTTTTGGGATCTATCATGAGAACGACCATGGAAACAAGCCAAGAAAGTAGACAGCGTGAACAACAGTTGTTTTGCAGGTACACACCAAGGCGTCCCTTGGTGCTTCCCCTGTCACATCCCAGCTTCGTTGGGCCAGGTCGGATGTGACAGGCCTGGCCCCCCTGCCTTGTTAAGTGGTGGTAATGGAAACGGTGGCATTGGACCCTTTGGTACAGGGGGTGACACACACACACACATCTCGAGCTTGTTGACTTTGTGATTTTTCAGGTGGAACGGGCTTTGCGTGTCTTAGATGGAGCCGTCCTGATTTGTTGTGGTGTGGGGGGTGCTCTGACCTCAGCTTCACGGTGATTTCTTGGTCAGTCTAGCTAGCTAATTCTCTCTCTCTGTCTCTCTCTCTTTCTTTCTTTCCTTCCTTCCTTCCTTTTCTTCCTTTTCTTTCTTCCTTTTCTTCTTTCCTTTTCTTCCTTCCTTTTTTTCCTTCCTTTTCTTTCTTCCTTTTCTTTCTTCCTTTTCTTTTCTTTTCTTTTCTTTCATTTCCTTTCCTTTCCTTTCCTTTCCTTTCCTTTGTTTGCTTGTTTGTTTGTTTGTTTGTTTGTTCATCTCTTTTGCTTTCTGCTAGGCATCAGCAGCGCAGTTTAAGGGCTACAAGCCCAGAGTTGCTCTGACTTGAGGTCCAGAGCCAGACCATCACAGTGGATAGACAGATGAAGCGATATGAGGCACACTTGTTTTCGCCTAGAGTAGTTTGCGTACTTGTTTTTGAACCTCCTGCACGGCCCAGTCATGGCTTTGTCTGTCCCTGTCTCACAACGAGAGTTCTTCAAACGGGCCTGCTTATGATACAGTTTTTTTCAAGGGTCTGCGCCCAGAAGTCAGCGCTCATGACCCTTAACATCTGCTTCAGAGTGTGGTGACTATGCACTGTGCTCTTCGTGTACTTCGTGAGGTGCCTCGTGTGGTCTTCATCAACAAGCTTGATCGCTATGGCTCTGATCCATTCCATGTGCGGCTCTAGCTGACTTGAACAGCCTTCGAAGCTGGTGAACTTCGATTTTCAGACAATCCAACTGGTCATTGTGAAGGTCCTTGGACAGATTCGTCAGAAGCTTGGCGAGAGCCCTAGTGCTGATTTTCCGAGGAGACGCTTGCAGGGTGAAGGTTCACTTTGCTGGGCAAGGGGTGTTGTAATCAATTGTACTCAAAAGGTGTGTGGTGCTTGATGACTGAGAATTAATCTTTCATACTCGCACTTTGGCTAGAAAGTCGAGGGAGCTGGTGCTGTGACGCGGGTTGTCAAGGTCTTACCTGCCAACCGCTGCAGCTGCCCATTGGAGAGGAGGACAATTTCATAGGCACATGTTTGATTGAGAGTACAAGAGTGTGACCGTGCAAAAGATGGATTGAAAGCTTTTCAAGAGCTTTTTCAATAAGCGACGAATACAAGAAGCTCGTGGCAGCACCTGCCTTGAGCTATGCCAAGTTGTGTGGGTTTGGTTCTTTGCACCGCCACGGCTTCACCAGGCATCTGTGATTTGGTGTCCCAGCGGGTGGATGCCTGAGAAGCGCCGCTGGCTGGAGGTCCAATGAGGCCAACAATGGCAAAGCCAATGGTCCAATGAGCGAAATGAACTTCTTTGATCATCGCTGTTAGGTTGGCGGCCATCGCTAGTAGGTTGGAAAAAACGTGTATTTGACATGAAGCATGACGCCACAGTTAAAGTGACGGTGAGGGATCTTGTGCCTGCCATGATCGCTGCAAACGGTGCAAACGGTTGGGCTGAGGCAAGCTTCTTCGAAGGCAAAGATGGAATCAGTGGGGGCCTCGCTTCGGGGTGTGGTGTGACTCTCAAGGCGTGTTGGGATAAGGTCAGAGGCTTATAGTAGCGTCCTTGCTCCTAGTAGTGATGCCAGGAGCCCCTAGTAGCGTCCTTGCTCCTAGTAGTAAGGCCACCAGCCCCTAGTAGCTTCTTGTTACTTAGGATTTTGTGAGGATCCATGTGTTTCTTTTGCTGCACAAGACATTGTCAGCATCATCAATACTCAAACAAGTCGAGAGCTGTCGCAGTCTTCATGCTGTCGCAGTCTCCATTGTGTTTGAGTGTTTGGATATTGAGGAATTCTAGATGACTCAAACTCAGTGACAGCCAAAAGACCGGCTCAGGTCGAAAATTTGCTGAAATTCCAGAAGCCATGAAAGAGAAGGCACATAACAACGCTGTTTGAAGTTTGCTCACTTCGAAGACAACCTCCTACAGATGGTGCATACACAGTTGTACTGTGGCAAGGCCTTTTGCAAGAAAGTTGCGGCTGTCATGCACAGTTTGCACGATACACTGAGCTTTTGCATCTCTACTGTCTGAAGCTTTGCATTTTGCACCGCACAGGTTGCAGAAGCCCGGTCAAACCTCTTAGAGACCCTTGCGGATATTGATGATGAGTTCGCAGAGGTGCTATCGCATGGAGAGGGTCTGCAGTCGCTTGAGTCACGGTTTTCTATGACTGACGATTGGAGTTGCAACTGTGTCGGTGCATTGGGATTACTGTCACATTCTCAATGGAGCTTGCAGCTTCGAATCTTTCAAAAAATATATTACATAATTATATATATATATACATAACTTTTGAGTGTCTAAGGTGTACCTGGAACATGATGATGTTCCCGAAGATGCCATCCATGTGCAGAACTTAGCTCAAGAGCATTTGAATCGGTAGGGAACGTTTGATTTGCAGAGGGACCGACCAGATTTGGAGGTAGGCCTGTTTCCGGTGGTGGCTATACCGTATACCGCATCTCAGACGAACTGGTCCAACATGAAAGCATCCTTGTACTCCTATGGTCCAATGGCTAAGATCTTGACGTGTTTCAGCTTCACAATTTCAGTCATGGAGATTCTTTAAGCATTCTTGTGGTCTATATTTATGACCCATCCTTCAGCAATCGGCATAAGGGACTCCAGTCGTTTCCTGTACGCTCGTGCTGTACTCGAGTGCTCAAGAAACAATTTTCTGGATGTGCATGCCCAGTGCTGATATCTGCAGTTGGCGTGTTTTGCGCCAGGCTCAGCAGGCCAACTGAATACTGCATATGCATCAATATGATGGGTGTAGGTCTGAACATCCATAGTAGCTCTGTCTATTTGTCTTTGATTTTGAAGCATTTGTGTCATGATCTGAACATCCGTTGACTCTCGGTCTTCCCGGATAGAAGCATTAGGGGCAGACGGATACGGTCCTCGGAGACGGCGAACTGTTCGGCTCGTTCGTTCCTTTCACGTTGATCGGTTCGGATGCCCGTGTTTCGGGCTGAAACCCATGTTTTTTCTCTCCTCGGGTACACTCCCTAACGGTGACTCATTTCAGTATCAATGGGATTTCTTTTTCTTTAAGGTCCTTAAGGCTAAGTTTCAGAGCTAACCCAGCAAATTCCCAGGCCGCGATTCGACGAACGACCATTGCCAGAACCTTTTGCCCTCTCTTCATGGGTGTCTTGGCCAGACCAAGCCACTTCCTTCATGGTTTGAAAGCATTGTGGCTCTGTGTTGAGACACAAGTTGGGTGCACTTCAAAGCTTAGAGGTGCTCTGATGCGCAGTGGGCCCAACCTAATAGCAATGGCCTCCAACCTAATAGCAATGGCCTTCAACCTAATAGCGATGGCCTCCAACCTACTAGCGGCGCGATGGCCTCCAATCGAAGATTTTCTCAATCAAGAGCAACCAGCTGGTGTGCTGAGGCTCTGCGTACAAGAACAAAGGTGTTCAGGACTGGCAGCTGGAAGAGCATGGATGCCTTTTTTGGGGGAGGATGTCGGCGTGTTGGGGCTTTGGAGAATCTGGCAACCAATATCCTTCTCTCATTATTTGAGCAGTCGGATTCTGTTCGAGAGCACTGTGGATACTGCTCCAGCAGCTGATGAATTCTGAATCCTTCTTTGAAGATTTTGCATACATCGTTTTATGATGCATTTTTATTTGCAGGGCATTGTTCGTTTTGCAGAGCAGTGTCTCAGAACGATGGCCATGAATGCAGGACTTGCTTGACGGCGTTTGCCGGTACTTGTCTAGTGCTCAGCTTCCGACAACCTCCTTCCAAACTGCTTTTGCTTTGTTCTCACTGCTTCCCAATCAATGCTACTGGAACAAGCAGTGTGAGGTGGGTCCAACCTCATGACCTCCTACATGCCTGTTCTTGCTCACCGATTAATGGCTCTTTTGACTTCAACTTGTAGCATTTCGGTTCAAGTTGCTCAATCAGCTGCCTTGCTTTCGGCTTTGGACCACGATGGCCCTTCGTGTCCTGTCTTTGTTGCTCTTTG